GCAAGAGATAGATGGGGGTGCTGGCATTGCTCTCATGTGTCTTCTCATGCTTCTGTGCCAAGAGGGCTCCAAGAGGCGAGCGTAGGTGTTCCTGAGAGGCAATGCTAATGTTGGACCCCCGCTCTTTGATCGATGTCCTCGCAAATAACCCCACGATGGTCCCCCATGCTCCCAAGAGTGCCCCAAGAGAGCCCCAAGAGGCGCCGAAGAAGTCCCCAAGATGCTCCCAAGGGACCTCCAAGAGGTTCCCCGAAGCACCCAATACGCTCCAAGGCCCCCGGGACCGCAAAGAGGCCCGCTAGACGCCCCATGAAGACTCCACGAAGCTCTCCAGAGACGTCCGAAGAACTTCCACAGGCATCCAAGAGGCCTCTAGCTTTTCTGCTGGCCCTCCTCCTCCTCTTCCTCATCCACCTGTTCCTCCTGCTCCCTCCTCCCTGCTCCCCCTCCGCATCCCCCTCCTCCTCCTCCTCCTCCTCCTCCTTCTCCCCACTTTCTCCTCCTCCTCCGATTCCTCCTCCATCCACCCCCTCGTGGGGTACGATGGAGTCCCCAGTCCCCTGTCCCACTGCGTCAACTCGCCTGGGCATCGTTTCTGGATGGGCTGTCGGGGCGACGCGAAGCGTCCAGACTCGAGAATCCAGCTCGGCACCACGCTACGCAACATATTACGCGGAGGGGGGGGCGCCGCATCCCTGCCATCGTCAGGGTAGAGAGGAGAGTAGTATGCACATGGCGTACTCGTAGACAGGGTGGGGAGAAAGGGAGCGGGAAGGACGCGGCTTGCAGTACCAACATCCGACGCCTGGACGCCGCGCCTGCGCCCAACGTGTCAGTGTTGACAAGGGCCACGGTTGTGGCGTCGCTGGGCGCTGTGCAGTCTGCCAAATGCGCATCCAGTCGAAACGCGGTCATAAGGAACCCTAGATGAGGAACGAGGGCCCTTGCTTCCATTAGTTAACCTTCGACTCCCTATCATAACCAAAAAACTATACATACGACAAACTGTACAACACTTAAGGAACATTGAACCCCTCCCCATCGAAACGGGTTCTTTCTTCAGCGGTCCGACTGTATCAGAGACGTCTCTGGTTCTGAAAGATCGCGTTGACCGATCCCGTTGCCCGAAACCGAAACTTGTCTTGGAATGCGCGCCCTTTCCACGTATTGCTCTTTACACGCAATGTTGGCCAACGTTGTACATGTGACTGTTCAACCCTCACGGCCTCTGTCCTTCCATGATGGTGCTCCCGCGACAACGTAGGCCTCATCTTAGGATCGGCGATTTGCTAACGTCGCTCAGGATGGCGCTCTTGTCCAAGCGTGGGCAACTTTTCTGCATTGAAGTCCTTCCTCGTCGTTGTCGTCCCCATCCTTTCCCCTCCTCTGCATTCCCATGGTCCCCCTGCTCCTCCCGCTCCTCCTGCTCCTGCTGCTGCTGTGCCTTCCCCCCCTCCCTCCTCCTTCTCCTCCCCCTCCTCAGCCTCATCCTCCTCCCTCACCCTCACCCTCACCCTCATCCTCATCCTCATCTTCACACTCTTCATCCTGCTCACTCCTCTGCTCGCGCGCCACCTCTCCCTCCAAGGTGCACAGCTCTCATCTCTGACTGCGCATCCCACGATGGGGTCACTTGGGAGGTTCCTGGTCCACTATGACGCCCGTCTGCCGATGGAGACAAATCAGCGTGCGTAACGGGAAAGGGGTTCGTAGGAGCGGTGGGAGGTCGGATATGGCGCGAGGGCGCCCAGCTTGCCTCTCTCCTCTCTCCCCCCTTTCTCCTGCTGCCTCCCACTCTCCCTCCCCATTTTCTCCATATTCGTCCTCCTACCTCCTCCCTAAACCGTCCATCCCTCCCGCCGTCTTCCGTCCTCCGTCCTCCCCTTCCTCCTCCGCCTCCTTCTCCTCCTCCTCCTCCTCCTCCTCCTCCTCCTCCATTCCCTTTCCTTATGAATGACTCCTCACTGTCGCACCCTGAGGCCAGTCGGAAGGGCGGGCTGGGCGTTTCGCGTGAGAATTCCTTACCATGTGGGAGCCTGCCGCTTAAACACGGACAACAGTTTCACAGTTGGAGGGCGGGCCGTTTTCAAAATGTGGCTCTCGCCTTAGCGCGGCGCACATTCGTTCTGAAACTGTGCAAGAACTCCACGGATTCAGGACGGATCGTTTTCAAACTGTGGCTCTCGCCTTAGCGCCGCGCGCATTTCTTTCATACTTTGCATTCGCTTCACAGATTGAGGGCGGGCCGTTTTCAAAATGTGGCTCCCACCTTAGCGCCGCGCACGTTCGTTTTCATACTTAGCATTCGTTGTAAGGGTTGAGAGCGGCTCGTTTTCAAAATTTGGCTCCCGCCTCAGCGCAGCGCATATTCCTTTCAACAAGTTGCAAGAGCTTCGCTGACTCGCATGGTTAACTTTCCTTCAGGACTGCCAGGGTGCAACACCAGGAACGGTGCTCTGGCACGATTCAGGATCGCCAAGAAGCAACAGTCAGGCTTATTCGTGGCGCTGGAGTCCTGAGAATGGTGCTTTGGCACGCGTCAGATTTTTTTACACGGGTGTCCCCCAACGGCGCACCTCCCTCAGTGGAGATGAACCCTTGTAGGGGCCTATGAAGAAGAAGCTTGGAGGGATGGTGCCTTTCAATCTCGTTGATAAATCTTAGGTTTGCACTGGTCCTCCTTCTCCTCCTCCCCCTCCTCCCCCTCCTCCTCCTCCTCCCTCCTCCTCCTCCTGCTCCCTCCTCCTCCTCCTCCTCCTCCTGCTCCTCCTCCTCCTCCACCCTCCCTTCCTCCTCCTCCTCCTCCTCCCTCCTGGGTGCGCGGGGCCGCGCGGGCATGGCTACGCAGGTCGGCTGGCACGTCGGGGGAGGGGTGCCAGCCCCCCCGCCCTCCCCCGGCTCAGGGGGGGCGTCCACGGGGGGGGGGCGCCCCAGAGGGTGGGGTGCAAGCCCCCCGCCCTTCCCCGGCTAAGGGGGGCGTCCACGGGGGGGGCGCCCCCGAGGGGGGGGGCTCACAGACCGCGGCTCGAGGCCGGTGCGAGGACGCGGCGCCCCCCCGTGGGGCCCCCCTCCGGGCTGCGCCCTGCCTGCCCTGCGCAGAGGCCGCGTGGCGAGGCGCGGGGCGGGGAGCGCGCCGGAGGGCAGGGGAGCAGCGGGGAAGGAGGGGGCCAAGACGTGCGGGGAGGCATCAGGGCCTCCGCCGTGGCGTCTCGACCACACGCAGGAGCGACCCTGGGTAATGGAGGACGACGATGAATAAATGACTGGGGGTCGTGTTCACGCGGCGGCGCCGGGGATGACGACCAGAAAAACCGGCCGCGGGCTGGAAAACTATTTTTTCATCGTTCTCCTCAAGTCAGAAACTTGTGGAGAAATAGCAGAAAACTATTTGTTTAATCGTTCTCTTTCTGAGAGCGTGGGCTTGAGCTCGCTCAAGCTTCGCTCTGCGGGGGGGGGACCTCATTTCCGACCTATTCCCGACCTAATTCAGTGCTTCGCGGGGGGGGGGGGGGGCCTCATTTCCGACTTATTTCAATGCTTCGCACCCCTCCCCCTCCAGAGCGGACCCTCCCCCTGCAGAGCGCCCTCCCCCCTCTCCCTCCTGCAGCCCAGCCCCCTCCCACTGCAGAGCGGACCCCCTCCCTGCAGCCCCCCCTCCCCTCTGCAGGGCAGACCCTCCCCCCCCTCCCCTGCACCCCCTCCCCTGCAGAGCGGACCCCCCCCCTGCAGAGCGGACCTCCCCCCTGCAGCACCCCCCCCTGCAGAGCGACCAGCCCCCCCCGCAGAGCAGAGCCCCCCTCCTGCACCCCCTCCCCCTGCAGAGCGGACCCCCCCCCCCCCCCCCCCTCTCCCCCTTGCAGAGCGGACCCCCCCGTGCAGCCCCGCCCCCCCCTGCAGAGCGGACCCCCCCCCCCCTCCCCTGCACCCCCCCCCCCCCCCTGCAGAGCAGACCCCCCCCCCTGCAGCCCCCCCCCCCTGCAGAGCGGACCCCCCTCTCCCCTGCAGTCCCTCCCTCTGCCGAGCGGACCCCCCCTGCAGAGCAGACCCCCCCCCCCTGCAACCCAGCTCCCCCCCGTCGTCGTCGTCGTCGTCGTCGTCGTCGTCGTCGTCGTCGTCGTCGTCGTCGTCGTCGTCGTCGTCGTCGTCGTCGTCGTCGTCGTCGTCGTCGTCGTCGTCGTCGTCGTCGTCGTCGTCGTCGCTCGCGTCATCGTCGTCGTCGTCGTCGTCGTCGTCGCTCGCGTCGCCGTCGTCGTCATCGCGTCGTCGTCGTCGTCGTGGTCGTTGTCGTCGTCGCTCTCGTCGTCGTCGTCGTCGACGTATTCGTTTTCGTCGTCGTTTTCGTCTTCCTCGTCGTCGTTCATTTCCACAGGCACCCGGAGCGCCCCGGATCGGCGGCACTGGCCGGAGGCCACTACAATAACAGAAAACTATTTGTTTAATCAATCTCTCTCACTTTTTATTAATCGTCATCCCGCATTAAAGCAAGAGTGGCCGTGGGTGCGCGGCTCTCGGGGAGGCGCGGCCAGGCCCCAGCCAAGCGCGCAGGCCGCTGCCATCGCATCGCGTTCAGCGATCGGGGGGCCCCACTGGCCCGCAGAAAAAAGGTCACTCTGGCGACAGGTCACTCTAATTAACGTGTAGTCGAGTACCTCTCTCCTCCTCAGTCGCCCGCCGCCCCCAGCCAACGCTTGCCATCCGGGCGGCCCCCAGAGCCCTGGATCGACAAGACGTGTGTGCTGTACGCCCCCCCTCTATTTCCGCCGAGCTCCAGCCGCCTTCCGCGGGCCCTCCACGCCATCTGGGGGATGCCTGGCCCCCGGCATGCCGCAGCGCGCGCCGCCGGCGGAGTCCACAGCGCAGAGACGTCTCCCCTGACTTCTGCCCCCCCCCCCCCCTCTCCCTGGCCATCGCTTGGACGTCCATTTCCTGTGCTTTGTTCGGTTTCGTGCGTGGCTTGTTCGCCAAATCATCAAGGATGCTCCTCGATGGTCCTCGCCGAAGGAAGAATGCACACGTCCGAGTGGCGATGCCAAGCCCCTGCATCCGCCAGGCGCCGCCCCCTTTTTCAGGCGCCGCCCGCGCGGCCCCCTGCAAACTTGCACGCGACGCCTCCGGAAGGTGTGTCCCCTACACCCGCCGGGGCGCCGCCCTGGCCTGAGCTCCTGCCATCCGCGCACCCTCCCGGGCGTGCCGTGCGGGCCGAGGACTCTGCTCCCGGCCCCCGTGGACCCCCCGCGCACGGCCGCGCGGAGCTGGCCGCCCGCTCCTCTGCCTCCGCGAGGGGCCGCTGCTGCTCCTCGCCTCCCGCGCCGCCCCCGCGCAGCCCTCCCGAGCTGGCAGCCGGCGCCTCCGCTGCAGCTCGCTGCGAGTCCTGCCCCTGGCCCCGCACGTCGCCCGCGCCGGGTCCTCCCGGCCCGCCTGCTGCCGCGGAGGGCAGCTTCGGCTCCTGGCCTTGTTGGCTGCGCCCGAGAGGGGTATGCGGAGCATGCTGTCCAGACCCGACAGCGGCCGCTGCTGGGCAGGCGACTCTAGGTCCAGACTATAGACACTGTCCGCGGCGACACCAACCACGATTTGGACGCCCGAAATGGGCACGGAAAAAATGGGCACTGTGCCCAACTTTAATTGTTGTCCCAAACCAGCATCGGCCACTGTTGGGCAAGCGGCCTTCTGTCTCGAATGGACACAGGCCGCGGCCGCGTGGACAGCGAGTCCTGATCAAAATGAACAGGGACTGCTGTTGGGCATTTGACCCATTCTTTCCGTACCCAGTTCGGGCGTCCAGACACGATCCCTTCTCAAAGCGGATAGGAACCGCTGTCGGTCTTCGTCCCCGTTCTCTCTCTGCACCCCTTCCGGTCGCACCGACCTGGCACGCCGCCCGCACGCAGCCCTGCAGGACCGGCGGCCTGCCCCTCCGCCGCCGCGGAAGACGAGGTCTCCTCCCAGCCCTGCGCGTCGCCCGCGCACGGCGCTCCGGGACCGGCAATCGGCCCCCCCGCCGCGGCGCAGACCGAGCCCTGCCCGTGGCCTCGCACAGCGCCCGCGCACGAGCCCCCCGCATCGGCAGCCGGCCCCGCTGCCGCCGCGGTGGACGAATTCTGCTCCTGGCCTCGGGCAGCGCCCGCGCGCGGCGATCCGGAGCTGGCAGCCTGCCCCTCCGCCGACGCGCTGGTGGATGTCTGCTCCTGGCGTGCCGGGAGGGGGGAATGGGGGAGGGAGGAGGAAGACCTCACGCTCCGCGCTGGTCGGATTCCGTTCCTGGCCTTGGCCACTGCGAACATGTGTCAAAATAGACGGACAGCGGGAGTCAACAGGAAGACTGAAGTTACCAGGGAGGAGGCTAGGATAGAAAGACGGACCATCACCCCATTCCGCACAGCGGCACGGCGACGGAGCGAGGAGGGAACCGGGGCAAGACTGATTAAGGTATCGCGGGGGCCGGCCGTAACTCATGGAGCGAGAAGACACACGCAACGAGATATGTTAGCCAGTGTGGACCCCAAACAACGCGTTGCTATAATGCGATGTCGTGCAAGCTATATTGTGCAATCTATGTGTGCAATAAAATGTAGACAGTGTTCAGTCGGTATGGCCAAATACATGTTGTACCATATATATATATATGTATGGGCCAATCTAGGTGGTGCAATCAATGCTGTGGAATCTATGTGAAGCAATCTGTGTGGTGCAGTCTTTGCTGCGGTGACGAGGCGACGACGGCTGCAACAAGGCGGCTGGCCCGACAAACGAGCCCAGACTACGGGCGGCGAGTGGGGCGGCGACGGCGGCAACAAGGCAGCGGATCCGACGAACGAGCCTGACGACGGGTGGCGACGAGGCGGCGACGGAGTGGCGACGGGGTGGCGACGGCGGCAGCAAGGCGGCGGGCCCGACAAACAAGCCCAGACGACGGGCGGCGACGACGCGGTAGTAAATAGGGCGGTGGCGGCGGCAACATGGCGGCGGACCCAACAACGAGCCCAGACGACGGGCGGCAACGAGGCGGCAACAGGGAGGCCACGGCGGCAACAAGGCGGCGCATCCCACAAACGAGCTCAGTCCCCTTAGACAGGGAAGGGAGCAGCCCTAAGTGAAAGCACGAGCTGGGGAATATACATATATACGTGTGTTTAGGGAGAGAACGAGATACACACATATATATATATATATATAGAGAGAGAGAGAGAGAGAAAAGGAGAGAGAGGGAGAGAGAGAGAGGAACAAACAGTGAACGAGAGAGAGAGAGAGAGAGATAAAGAAAGACATAAAGAAATCGAGCGAGAGAGAGAGGGAGAGGGATAGAGAGAGAGAGAGAGCGATAGAGAGAGAACGAGAGACAGAGAAAAACAGCACATACAACAATAAAGAGAAAGAGAGAACTAGAGAGAGAGAGAGAGAGAGACATATAGAGAGAGAGAGAGAGAAAGAACGAACAACATTGGTGGAGTATCATGGGGAGGACGGGGAATAGGAAGAAGGGCGGAAGGATGGACCCATTCACAATCATTCCTGCGCTCCTGCCTGTTCCTTTGCCCATTGTCCTCCCTCTCGGTGCCTAGTCACAATGTTCCTGATCCCCCCCCCCTCCCTTTCTGACTCCTTGCTCTCCCCCCTCTCCCTCTACTAGTTGCTTATGTGCCTCCCTCGCTCGTTCGGTTGCCACCTCTTTCTCTCTCTCTCTCTCTTGTTTTTTTTTTTTTTTTTTTTTTTTTTCCTCTCTCTCTCTCTATCGCTCTCTCTCTCTCTCTCTCGCTCTCTCTCTCTCTCTCTCGCTCGCTCCACTTCTCTCGCGTCATGCCTCTCTCTCTCTCTCTTTTTTTCTCTCTCTCTCTCTCTCGTTCTCCTCTCCTCTCCTCGCTCTCTCGCGCCACCCTCGGCGCGCCAGCGGGCGGCGAGTCGAGGCTCGGCCGCTGACGCACAGCGTCGGTCCGCGGGGGCGCGGCAGCCTCGCGCCGCCAGCTCGCGCCACAGGACGGCGAGCCCCAGCCCGCCTGTCCGCGGGGGGCCGCCCCGCAGAGCAAGCCCCGCGACCGTGATGCGCCCGAAGCACACGACACGGAAGGCGAAGAACGGCGAGGCGCCGAAGTCCGCCGCGAGGCCGAGCGCTCCACGCCAGGCCGAGGGCGGGGGCCGCCCCGCCGCAGCCAGCAGCGCCCCGCCTGCCGCAAAGCGGCCTGCTCCCTAGAGCTCTCGCTTCACGCCGACTTGGCCCCCCCCCCCTCGGGGGCCTGACGCCGACTTGGCGGTGCGCCCACGGCGCCGTCAGCCGAGCGGGTCCAGGGGCTCCAGGTCGTCGGGCTCGTGCGCCCAGTACGCGTTCGTGCTGTCAAGAAGGACCCAGGGAGAGACGCGCCCGCCGAGCGCCACCGGCTGGACGATCTTCCCCTCGATCCCCGCCCTGGGGCCCGTGCGGATCCGCACCCGCATGCCCTCCGCAAGGGGGGCATGGGCGGCAGCTGCCGCGCTGGGCCGGGGGGGCGGCCTGGCGCGCTGAGCAGGGGCCTCGGCGGCCCTCGGGCGCTCCAGCGCGCCCATGCCCTCGTCGTCGTCGTCGTCGTCAGCGGCGGCCGCAGCGGCAGTAGGCGGCGGCACGAGCTCCAGGCCCGCTCGCACGCCTCCCGCCTCGCGCCGCCGCTGCTCGTGGCCACCCCCGTTCGCCGCACTGGGAGCTCGTCGGCCCACCTGTCGCCAGCCAGGGGCGAGGACGGGGCCACGCGGCCCAGGTCCTGCGAGCTCCCGCCCGCGCGCGCCAGCACCGACAGGGGCCGAAGCAGCCCGCTCCAGCCCCGCTCCAGCAGCGGCCGTCTCCGCCTCGACCTCCATCGCGCCCTCGGTTCGTCCCGCAGGGCCTCCCTCTCCGCCACGCCCACGCCGCCGTCGGCGCTGCCGAGGGCGGCCCGCAGGCTGGGCAGCGTCAGGCGCAGGCGGGGGCGGCGCCTGCGAGGGGGGCCGCAGCGCGACCACCGCGGCTCGAAGGAGGCCCTTCAGCAGCCCGAAGCAGGCGGGTCCCCGAAGGGGACAGGCCCGCCGCCAGGCCCACGGCCGCATGGGCCGCCAAGAGGGCGCCGCGAGACGCCTCCTCAGCGTCGCGGAGCCCCTGCTTGCCGGCCACCCCGGGCATCGGACCCCGGGCGAGCGCGCGCGCGGCGCGGCCCTGCGGCAGGAGACCTGATCCGAAGAGGCTCCTCTCCTCTCTCTCTCTCTCTTCTTTTTTTTTTTCCTCTCTCTCTCTCTCGCCGCGGCTCGGGGGCCTCGGGCACAGCGCGCTGCCACGACACGGCACGCCCAGCGCAAAAAAGCACCGCCGATCGCGCCGCGCGAGGGGGGCGCACGCCGTCCCGGCGCGTGCAGGGCTCGTGCCGCCCCCCCCTCCCACTAGGTCGGGCACGCATGTCCCCCTGCAGGCCGACTTTGGACGTCAAAAAATATATTCAACATCTTGTCGCAATATATATATATATATATATATAAAAAAAAAACGAGAATAATCCAGCAGTCGTCCCCAGACTGTTGTTCGACTGTTTTTAGATAGCCCCCCTGTCGAGGGACAGGCCCGAATCAACCCCTCCACCAGGCGAACGAGCAAGGACACAGCCAGAACAACTCGGAGGTCCGCGCGGATTCCTCGCATCGGCGCTGGGCCCCCCCGGCGACGCCTCCGGCCCCGCCCCTGGCGCGCTCCGCGCGCCAGGGAGGGGGGGGGGTCCAGCGCGGATCCAAGAAGTCCGCGCGGATCTCCGAGATTTGCCTATGTTTACTTCCAGTTCCCATCGGTCGGAAGAAGCAGGTAACACCATGGAGCAGGAAGGCGTTGAACATATCTTGTGTGTCCGCCCGCCCCCTGAAGAGGACGGAAAAGGGGAAGCCGCTCGATCATTAAAGTACGAGGGCGCTCAAGGTAGACTGGAATCGGGGAGTCCCAATGTTACTACTTGCAACGACCGATGGGCACCCGCGCGCGCCATGGCTCCTAAAGGTCAACGCCGTGCACCTGCAGCCCCCGCGCAGCCCAGGCCACCAGACAAGGGCCACCCCAAGGAAACCTTACAATGCCGCCAGGGCGGTACCCCAGATTTCGTAATAAAGGGAGGGGGGTCTCATTTCGGGGGGGGGGCGTCTCTTCCAGGCTATCTTGGAGGGCCTGGGGGGTCTGGGGACGATGTTTTGGAGGGTCCAGACCCCCTCCCTTTTATTACGAAATCTGGAGTAACCTGTCCTCCAGGGAAGCCTGCGTCCCCGCACTCCCGAACAGTGGTGGTCATGACCCAGCAGTCGCTGCACACAGCGTTCTCGCACACAAGAGCACCAGAACGAATCTGATATCGTATGCCAACAACATCGCTCCAAGCAGTTCGAGCCAAGGGGCGAGCCGATGAAACTGAGCGAGAAACACGAGACCAACTAATTACACCCTGCGGCACTGCGCGTCGCCCAGTTCTGGCCGTGCTCGTTTCCAGGCGCGCTCGCCTCCCATCGCTCCTGGCCCCCCTGGTGGCAAGGACGAGGCCCAGGAGAGCACAGTGAGCAAGGACAGGATCTTGGCCCCCAAAACATCGAGAAGCTCTCGTTTTTAGGCGCGCTCGCCTCCCATCGCTCCTGGCCCCCTGGCCCTGGTGGCAGAGAGGAGGCCCAGGAGAGCACATGTGAGCAAGGACGGGATCCTGGCCCCCCAAAAGCGTCGAGGACCTCTCGAAGAACCAAACAAAATGCACAGCGTGCGCCCCCCCGACCGCGCAGGACGGGCCCACGGCCGTGCCTCACCAGGAAATCCACGGCCTCGGCCGCTGCCCCGCTGCCTCGGCCTCGGCCGCTGCCCCGACGCGCAGGACGGGCCCTCGGCCCTGACCCACCCCGGAAGTCCACGGCCTCGGCGCCGCTGCCCCGCTGCCTCGGCCCTCGGTGCGCTGCTGCCGCGCCGGGGCGCGCCCCCGCCGCCGCGGCGCCCGCCCGGGGGGCCGAGGACGTCACCCCGCCGTGGCACCCGAGGCGCCTCGCTGCACTCCGCCTCGAAAAATCACCCCCCTCTTGGGCGCTCCCGAGAAGAGGGGAGCGGCCGCCCGCAGCACGGCCACCCGCAGGACGTGGCCCTCGCCCGGGCCTTGCCGGGACCCGTCGGCACCGACGGCCGGGGGCCAGAAGAACTCTAGTCGATGCGCTGCTGGGGCTGCCGAGACCCCGCGAGGCCACATCCAGACAACTGTGCACCGACAAGGCCGCTCTGGGGTTAAACGCCTGCAGAACGTGGTCCAAGTGACTCTGGACCCCGCAGAGAGCGTCGCATGGATTCGCGCAGCTATGGGCGAAACGGATGTCATCGCCGCTGCGCCGTCTTTCCGGGAGATCTTCACACCGCAGCTCTCGGGAGAAACGCCGATCAACGGCACGCGGCAGCCAGGAAGCGGAGGGACGGCCCAGTCAGGAGGGAAGGGGGGAGGGAGGGAGGAGGGAGGGAGGGAGGAGGAGTGAGGAGCGAGGAGGGAGGAGGGAGGAGGGAGGAAGGGGGGAGGGAGGGAGGAGGGAGGAGGGAGGTAGGAGGGAGGGAGGAGGGAGGGAGGGAGGGAGGAGGGAGGAGGGATGAGGGAGGAGGGAGGCGGGAGGGAGGAGGGAGGAGGGAGGAGGGAGGAGGGAGGGAGGGAGGGGAGGAGGGAGGACGTCGTCGCTCCGGAGGGCGAGGGGGGGGGTGGGGGGCTCCATCGTCGCCCTGCGGCGCCGCTCCAGCCTCGCGGCCGGGGAGGGGCAGGCCGATCGCGCAGCTGGAAGCCGGACCCCGAGAGGGCAGGGGAAGGTACAGAAAGAGAGGCAGAGGAGGACACGAAGGAGCCCACGACCCCTCCTCCCCACCCAGACCCCCGACGTAGCTGGAAACCGGACCGAGAGAGCAGGGGGAGATACAGAGAGAGAGGCCGAGGAGGACACAAAGGAGCCCACGATCCCTCCCCCCCACCCAGACCCCCGACGTAGCGCTTGTCTTAGGCATCCTGTGGCGTTGGGTCCTCGTCTTGAAGAGACAGCACCCCGCGTCTCCCTCCTCCAGCTGCCCTTTCTTCCTCCTCTGTCTCCTCCTCCACCTCCTCCTCCTCCTCCTCCTCCTCCTCCACCTCTTCCTCCTCCTGCTCCTCCTCCCCGATCCCATTCCTTGCCTCTGCTCTCCGCGTGTCAAGTCGGTACACCCCTCACACGTTTCGGCCACGTTGCCACAGGAATGTAGGAAGCATGGGTTGCGAGACACAGGACACAAGGGTACCCTTGATTTGGCAGGGTCGACCTACTAATCTCGGCCGACTGTACGACTCTCCTCTCTCCCCTGATGACGTCCGGGAGAGCCCGCCCCCCTCCGCGTACTGTTTTTTTTACACAACAGGATTCCCAGGAAATGGGTTTTCGCTGGGGGTGCTTGTTTCCATATGTTGCTCCCGCTGAGACGCTGGCCCCATTTCTGCGCCGCTGGTTTAGCGCGGGCGTTTTCCGTCCTTCCAAATCGGCCCGAACATTGAAACAATGCCTCAGAACAAAAAACCATCGGAAGTGATTCGTCGATTCGTTGATATATGTGGACCGCAGAAGCCCCCCACTTTGGGGCGTCGTCGCTTCCAGGAAGTATCAAGCGGTAGCCCCGTTTCTGCTTTGAGAAGGCGATGTTGAAAGCAGAGCCAGCGGGTGCTCTCCATCAGCCCCGCCTTGTGTGGAGCTTCTCGGAAGAAGCTAGACATGGAGCCACAACTCCAGACCGTGCTGGACCTCTCGAAGACAATCCACTTACCCTCCAAGGAACATGGCGCCATGCCATGACATGCTGTGCGGTGTTGTGTTCTGCGCCGCTGTGCGATGTCATGCTTTGGTATGCAATGATGCTTTGTGATGCAATGCTTCACTGCGCAATGCCACGCCACGCTATGGCATGCTACGCTCTGCCGTGTTCTTCTACCCCATGCCATACCGTGCTCTACCATGCATCGCGTACCCTTCCGCGATCAGTGCCCTGCTCGACATCCGACTGTGCGAATAGAGAGGGTATGTACGCCATGGTAAAGGATGGGAGGGAGGGGTAGGACGTCTGATATGACGCGAGCGCACCTAGCTTTGTGTCAGGCCTGTCCCCCTACAGGGGGATTTTCGACGAAAAATAAGACATACCTCCAAAATATCCTCAAAAGGTTAAACATACGCCAAAAATGCTCCAAAAATACCCCCCAAAATAGTCCCCAGACCATTGTTGGACTATTTTCAAACTTTTTTGGTGGCATGTTTTATGTTTCGTCGAAAATCCCCCTGTAGCGGGACAGGCCCGACTTAAACCTAGCTTGCCCCCAGCCCCTCTCTCCTCCCCTCCTCGCCGCCCTCTTGCCCCGGTGCTTTGCCGCATACCTTCTCATGTCGTAGATCCCTCGCGCATTTGGTGGCTGCCAGCGCTTCATGAACACATGTCGGCACTCCACAACTACAGTCCCACCAGAGGGGGAGAAGGAGGAGGAGGAGGAGGAGAAGAAGGGATGAGGAGCAGTGTACATTCAAGACAACAATGATCCCCCGATCAGTGCTTGCACTGAAGCGGTCCTAGCTGAGATTGAAAAATTTGGCGAAACTTCCGGGCCGATTTCTGTAGGCGGCCAAATTCCCGGTTCTGGGTTCCCGGGTTCCCGGTTGCTGGTTCCGGACCGATGTTGGTGGGCGGCGGGGTTCGCGGGTTCCTTGGATCCTGGGTTCTTGGTCGATCTCCTTATCGATTGGTCTCACCATCGATCTCACTATCCACCTTGCCATTGATCTCACAATCGATCCTACTATAGATCGCTCAAGCGATCTCACGGTCGATCTCACTATCGATCTCACTGAATCGGCTTCAGATCGGTCTCACGATGATCCGTACTATCGTCCTTACTATCCACCACGCTATCGGTCTCACTATCGATCTTACCATCGATCCCAATATCCATATCACGAATGTTCAAACCATCCACTGATTGGGGTTGCTCTCTGATGTAATGACATACGCCCTTACCCGAGTTCCCTCATCATAAGCCCCTACCGATGCAGGATGCATTTCCATTGCGGGGTGTCCCCTTTGGAAGACAACTGTCTGAGAAGCCCCAATCGTGCTACAACGCCACTCCTGGGACTTCAGCGCAGCAAATCAGCAGGACTACCGTGTTTTCACAATTGTAAAAGGCGCCAGAACGCCATTCCTGGGACTTCAACGCAGCGAGTCAACATGACTACTGTGACCTGACCATCACAAACAGCGCCAGAACGCCCTGCCTGGGGCTTCAACACAACGAACCCTTGACTCTGCTGCAACTGTTCACAAGACGAATGTCCGCGGCGCCAGACCGAGAACCGTATATGTTGAGAAGGCGCCGCGCTCCCCGTCCTGGAAGCTGCAGCACGCTTAAAAAACAAACGCAAACGTTTGCGGCGCCAAAGCAGGTCACATTGTGTACGCGAGCGGGCCGCCCTCCATCCGTGAGATTGCTGCGAACTTTTTACATCTGCGGGCCCCAGGAATATACACCACCACCACGTCGATTCCTCTTCCCTCCTCTACCCTCCTCTTCCTCTCCTCCCTCCTGGGAGAGGGAGGTGATGAGGGAGGTGGTGGTGAATATTATTGCGCCCTGTAAAGACGGATGTGCGGGCACTGAGGCGAGAACCACATCTGGAAACGAATCGCCCTCCATCCCTGAAGCTGCTGCGAACTTTGAAAACGAGTGCACGCGGCGCAACGGCGAGAGCCACATCTTGAAAACGAGCCGCCCTCCGTACGCGGAACTACTGCGAAATCCCAAGCTTCAAGATCAGACATGGTAACGAACTCTCAGGCGAGTCGCCCAGCCCGCCCTACCGACACGTCTGGGGGGGCGAATGGGAGCAGCTCTGTATCCCGAAGACGGCGAACGAAAAGCCAAGGCCCTTCATGCTGAGAGGAGGACGTGGGAGGAAAAGGATGAGGAGGAAGAAAAGAGAACGTCCCCTAAAAGGAGGTGGAGGAGGAAGAGAAAGAGGAGGAGGAGGAGGATCACACAGGCCGCGGATCTCAATGACCTTCATCGATCGACCGACCGACCGGCCGACGACGACGAAGAGAGGGAGGAGGAGGAGGAGGAGGAGGAGGACGACGACGACGCCGCCGCCGGGCCGCCGAGAGCTGCTGAGTGCCGCCGAGTGCCCCCGAACCCAGACGTGCTGTGTCTCGAATGTCTCAGCAAGGGGCCCACGGAGGTCTGGGCCTCGTCTTCCCCAGGGCCGGCGCGCGCTTCCTCCCGAGCAGGTTTGGTCGACGGTCCCGAGGCCCGGCCAGGGCCCCCCGAGATGGGGCACGGCCCCAGACATAGCCTGGCGAAGGACCCAAACCATCTACAGCTGTGAGTGCCGCCGTTGTGAGGGTCGGCCTCGGTGGAACTCCCGCTGGGGCAACGAAGCGTGTGCGGGGCGTGCCGATTTGGCGAAGGGGTGGGGCGCATGTGAGCCCTCCCCCTGGGACCTTCGGTGGCGCTCCCCATAGGGCAACGATACGTGTGGGGGGTGTACCGAGACTGGCGTGACGCCCACATGCAGACTGCGCAACTGGGACCTCAGGTGGAGCCCTATGGGGCTACGAAACCTGTGAGGGGTGTGCCGGAACGGGCGGGACGCCCACATGCGAACTGCGCCACTGGGACCTTCTCTGGAGCTCATCATGTGCCAAGAAACGTGTGACGGGTGTGCCAAGACAGGCGTGACGCCCACATGCAGACTGCGCAACTGGGACCTTCGGTGGAACTCCCTACGGGGCCACAAAACATGTGAGGGGTGTGCCGAAACGGGCGTGCCGCCCACAGGCTAACTGCGCCACTGGGACCTTCGGTGGAGCTCCCTAGGGGTGTGCCGAAACGGGCGTGACGCCCACATGCGAACTGCAGCACTGGGAGCTTCTCTGGAGCTCCCTATGGGGGCACGAAACGTGTAAGAGGTGTGCCGAAACGGGCGTGCCGCCCACAGGCGAACTGCGCCACTGGGACCTTGGGTGGAGCTCCGTATGGGGACACGAAACGCGTGAGGGGTGTGCCGAGACTGGCGTGACGCCCACATGCAGACTGCGCAACTGGGACCTTCGGAGGCGCTCCCTAAAGGGCAACGAAACGTGTGACGTGTGTGCCGAAACGGGCGTGACGCCCACATGCGAACTGCGCCACTGGGACCTTCGGTGGAGCTCCTATGGGGACACGGAACGTGTGAGGGGTGTGCCGAAACGGGCGTGCCGCCCACAGGCGAACTGCGCCACTGGGACCTTGGGTGGAGCTTCGTATGGGGCCACGAAACGTGTAAGGGGTGTGCCGAAACGGGCTTGATTCCCACAGGCGAACTGCGCCACTGGGCCCTTGGGTGGAGCCCCCTATGGGGCTACGAAACATGTGAGGGGTGTGCCGAAACGGTAGCCTGATTTTGAGGGCAGAGGCAGGGATGGGAGGAGGCAGGAGGAGGGGGAGGAGAAAGGACGGAAGAAACGTAGGAAGAAAGAAGTGACTCCGGGCGCTGTTTCTCCAAACGAGGACCCAACACCATAGGATGGCTGGGAACAACTTCCGCATGGAAGTTCTCGTAAAATGCTGGAGGCCCGTGAGTGTCGGGGGCGACGTTGAGGACGAATAGCCCAAGGGAGACCAATACATGTATCCAGGGGCGGCGATGGTCTATGCCTTCGGCGAGGTTCCTGGGGCGAGTGCGTATACAGTATTAGGAAAAAACAGAAACATAAACTTTCGACAGTCAGCGCGGATTTCTTGGATCTGCGCTGGACCCCCCTCCCTGGCGCGCGGGGCGCGCCAATGGCGGCGCCGGAGGCGCCGCCGGGGGGGCCCAACGCAGATCCAAGAAATCCGCACGGAACGTCGAAAGTCTATGTTCATGCAATTGTCTATCTTCGAGGCGGCTCCTTGGGCGAATGCGTGTATTGCTCCCCCCTGGACTGGGCATCGCTCGGACGTCCATTCCTGTGTTTTTTCGGTTTCGTGTGTGTGTGTGTGTGTGTGTGTGTGTGTGTGTGTGTGTGTGTGTGTGTGTGTGTGTGTGTGTGTGTGTGTGTGGTTTTTTCGCCAAATTATCAAGGATGCTCCTCGACGGTCCTCGCCGAAGGAAAAATGCACACGTCCGAGCGATGCCAAGTGGAGGGCTGTTCGCCCCAGTCGTCGCCTCCGAGAGTGCTGCCGACTGCCGCCGAAGGCCGCCCCGAAGCCTCACCGACAGGGGCTCCACCGCGCGGGCGACGTCGCCCCTGGTGGCCATGCAGCGGCTCCAGGCCTCCATGCCCCCCTCCAGCCTGCGGGGGCGGGCACAACTGCGAGGGATAAGGAGGAGGAGGAGACGAGGGGCAAGGAGGAGGAGGAGGAGGAGGAGGCGGAGATATGAGGGGATTGGATGGGAGCAAGATGGACCTGAAAATGGGGGACGGGGAGTAACGGACGGACCCGGACCCCCTTCGAGTCGTGAACAAAAGCGAGACGGAGTTTTCGGCCTCTGGGACCCTTGCTTGCCCCAGGGACCGTCAACAAACGACTCGGGATGAAAAGCCGTTCCAGGGGAAAGGGTCGAGACCTCTGGGGTCCACGTTGTGATCAAATCGCGACGGGGGGGGTCTGGGGATGGGGAGGAACGGAGGAACGGAGGGCGGAGGGAAGGATTTGAAGCTGATGATGAGGAGGCTGAGGGTGACGATGACGATGAAAATGATGATGAAGATGGTGATGATGAAGGCGACGATGACGATAACGATGGCGATGCTGCTGATGATGCTCCGGCTGATGATGAAACATAGTATGAACATCATCACGGTGGTGGTGCTAATGCAGGTGACGGCACTGTCGCGAAACGGTTCCGTTGGACCCAGGTCGGACACAGGCTCGGAAGACCATGATGCAACGCGGTCGCGGCCTCGCAGCTCCAAGAAGAGTGCACTGGGCAAGGCACCCGGCGTTCGCAACCTGAGGGTCTCTGGTACTTTCGGGGGAAAGGCAGCTCGTCCACCCAGTCAAACCACAGCGGATGACTTTGCCCCCGAGCCGATTCTGTGCATGCTTCAGGCGAGTAAGATGCAAAAGAGACACGCGCATTCTTCTGACATTGGGCCCCAGGGAAGCATGCGCATCCAAAGTATCCCACATACTGCTACTGCTATGTGGGTGTTTATGCATTTGCAAGAGCCATGACATGTTTTTCATCCGGATACGGGAGCCCACCACCCGCCCCGGATGCTCCCCGGTCTTCCCCAGCAAACGACGGACGCTGGCGGCTCCAGCACCGCGGGCTGCCCCAGCGCCAGTCTGCGAGGGGAGACACCTCCGCCTGCGCGGCGCGAGCTCCTGCTCCTCGTCAAAGACACCTGGGCCACTTCGCCAGACACCAGCGCCCTCTGGGATTTGTTCTCCGAGTTCTACAGGAAGCAGGGCAAGGGGCGGGCGCGCCCCGACGATGTTCCAGCGCTTTCTGCTCGACTTCCTCAACTCGGCGGGGGCCATGGATGCCCGGGCCAGGGGGATGCAGCGCGCAGGTGGTGAACCCGGGGCGGCCTGGAGCAGATCCTGCGCGCTGCGTGGCGGCGGCGCCCGCGACCCCAGCCGGCACGACGCCGCGTTCCTCCGCTGCTTCCGTCGCCGCGCCTCAGGATCCCTGCGCCCCCAATGGCAGGATGCATCGCCGCGCCTTCCCGCGCCGATCAAGCGCCTCGACCTGGCTTACCCTGTCCACCCAGGCAGTGGGGGCCGCCGGCTTCAGCCACAATCTTAACTGGTTACGGAGTGTCGCCTGCTGCCCACCCCGGCGGCGAGCGGCTGCCCTGGCCCCCCCTGGCCAAACCTGTCCACCCGGGCAGCGGGAGCCGCAGTTTTGACTGGCCTTGGCGCGCCCCTCGCCGCCTCCCCCGACTGCGAGTGGCCGTCTGGCCCCCCCGCGGCCCGCCCTGTCCACCAGGGCAGGTGGGCTGCTTTGCTTTCTTCCCTGCGCCAATTAGGCGCCCCCCCCGGCCCGCCCTGCCTTCGCCCGCACCGCGGGCCGCCGGCCCAGCCGCAGTTTTCGCTTGCAGTGGGCGCCGCCCCGCCCCCCCGCTGCTGCCGGCCGCCCGGGGCAGCTGACTGGCCCGCCCTGTCCACCTGGGCAACGGGGGCCTCTCGCGCGCCCGCCCGCGGGTCGGCAGCTCGACGAAGGTTGCGGCGAACGCGGAAGGGGGGGCAGGCGCGCATTGATGCTTAGCTCGCCCCTTTGATCTAGCGAGTCGCACTCGCGCAATCCTCCGCGCGCGGAGCGGCCAAGTCCAAAACGGACGATGGGATCGCGAGGAAGGATGGCACGAGAAAGAGCAACAAGTGAATCCGTCGAGGACAGGAGAGGCAATGGGCGATGGAATCTGGAACGCATGCGTCAATCCCAAGGCGTCCGCCGATGCATCCGAATCTGCAGCTTTTGGGCATCAGTACCCCTGCTCTGGCAGATGCGATGCAAGCGCGAAAAATCGCTTCCACGTGTGGCCATATCCGCGAAGTAGCTGGGCGCCGCAGCGCACGCCTCAAACTAGCCCAGCGCTCCTCCAGCACATGACTGTCGACGGCAAGCCTGCCACGGGGGCCTTTCAGCGAACCTCCTCCCGACGTGTCCTGCGACGCAATCGAGAGATAGAGAGAGAGAGAGAGACAGAGAAAGAAAGAGAGAGAGAGAGAGAGAAAGAGAGAGAGAGAGAGAGAACAAGAGAGAGAGAGAGAGAGATATGGGCATCATCAGCGGAGGAAAATAATCTGACTGCCTGGGCCTCGCCGTTTAGGGAGAGGCACCTCTGGGTGCCATTGCCGCGACAGCGGCCTCCTGGATGATGCCGCCTGCATTCTACTCGAGGTCGCCTGGGGAGGCTTCCCGCGGGCCCTCGCGGCCGGGTGGAAATCGTGGCGGGGTGGGTCGACCGCCGGAGGATGTCGCGCGATCGCCCCTGGGCCGGGCCGAGAGTCTAGGGCGCCGCCCTAGCCGCGCAGAGCCCGCGAGGCATCCGAGCCCCTCTGCCGAACTCCGAAGCCCCCGCCCGCGCCCCCGCCATTCCCCAAGGGCAGAGCGACTGACTCGCCAAACGAGCAAGCGCCGAGCAGGGCGCGCCAATCGGAACAGGCGCGGCGCTGTCTCCTTGGACCGAGCAGCTCCGAAGTCCCGTCGGAGCTCGGGGTGGGCCCGAGCAGTTTCCGAAGTGCCATGCCCCCCCCCCCCCCGGCCGCGAGGCGCGGGCCGGGGGGGGGCGGCTGGGCCGCGTCGGAGAGGCAGGGAAGGATGAGCATCAAGCCATGGCGCGCGGAGGCCCCGGGGGGGGACCCTGGAAAAGCCACTTGACAACACCTGGGCCACCGTGCGTTTCCTAACCGCAGACGCGAGGTCGGCGCGGGGCCCTTGGCGCCGCGCCCCGCGATGATGCATTCCCAGCCGGGGGCGACGCGAACGAAGCAACACTTCGAAGGCTGACGGCCGAAGGGCGGGCGGCTCCTCAGCCCGCTGACGCTTTGATATCGAATCCAAGGGGCGCTGAAGGCCGTTCGCCCTCGCCCAGGTGAGGGCCCGCCCGCCGACATTCGGTGCCACTGCCGCAGCGCGCGCGCCAAACGCGCCCCCCGCCGCGAATCCTCGCCAGGGCCCCGCGGGTGATAACGGCCACTGCCCCAGACAAGTGGTCGTTGACAGTTGCGGCAGCAGCTCCTTTGCTATCCCTATTCTGCGGCAGCTGAGGCCGCGTGCGCCCTGGCGGCCGAACGCGGTCGCCCACTCGCCGTTCTCTTCCCCATTCGCGGGCAAGGCTAGAGATGAGTCGCTCAATTGGGCTGGCGGGCTCTGGCCGCGGGCCATCTGAATGGCAAATCCGCGCAAAACTTCCGCCGGAATGGGGCGGCCCCTCCGGGCCCTCGCAGGCGCTCCGCCAAGGTCTGCGGCGGAGTCGCTGGCCTCCGCAAACGCCAGGCGGATGTCGTCAAGCGATGGGGGCGGGGATGTGCGAGTTATCCGAGCGGGGCGTGCGCCCGCCCAAAGCAGTGCCTATCAGATCCCCCTGCGCGAGCGCGGCAGTGAACGCGGGCTGTCAGTGTGACTTCAGCTCGCCGATTTTGGCAGGGTCTCTCGCGATCCTGCGCTCGCCCCGCCTCGTGGCTGAGCGCGTCGCGTGCCAGGGGGTGGCGAGGTCAACTTCGCTGGTTTCCACAGCAAGGGCCATTTGATCATAGTCTCAGCGGGGCGCTGTTGTCAGCGGCGTCCATCTCCTCTCCATGGATGCAACTTCGCGCTCAGGCAGCGCAGCCCGCGCCCCATGAGCCCTCGCGCGGCATTGGTCGGGCTGCCGCGGGCAAATTTCCGAGCCGTCGACGATCAGTTCAGCTGCTCCAATGGCGGAGTTCTTGGTCTGCCCTTCGCGCGAGCCTCGCGCCCTGGCGCCGGAGAGCCCTGGCGACAAGGTTGCAGGGCAGCAGCTGGGCCCGCAGCCCCGCGCCCGCGTCGCGGGCCAGCAAGCCCGTCGAATACGTTCCTTCCCCTCGCTCGAAATCTCAACGGCGTGTAGAATCATATTCTGGAATGCGCATTCTGAAGCCAGATGCTCGATCGTGGCGATGGTGGCTCGGCCTCTCGCTGGAGTGCGGTGCCTGGTGTTTGGGGGCGCCCCTCTGCCAGCAACAGCAAGGACCCCCAACGGTCTGTCAGAGTCATTGGGGTTCGGACCAGCATGGTGGGCTGATTGCGATGGTGACGGTACGCCTCCTGTGGCATCTCCTGTCCTGTCCAAGCCGTCTGGAGGGGGAGGCGGTGTATCCGGAAGAAGTCCAGGTGCCAACTCCAAAGGGTGCTCTCGTGATCGATGTAGGATATCAACGTGGCTACGGTTTGACCCTGCCCGTCTTGCGCAGCGTGAGACCGTCCTTCAACATCTGCTGGAACGCGTTAACCTTCCCGAGCGAGACGACGCCGTTGACCGACAGTGTGTCCCGGGATGTGGGCGGACAACTCGTCCAGCGAGGAAACCCCTTGCGTCGGAAGGCCTCATGTGCTGCCTCGAGGCCGCGCGCAATCAACCAGTGCAAAAGGGCGCCTGCAATGGCCCCCCCCGAACCTACAGAGGCTGGCATCGGCAAGCCAGGGCACGCGCCGGCCAGCAGCCTTGGGACTGGGAGAAGACAGGTGCGACCGCACTGGCAGGAAGCGCCCGGCCCAGCCGCGCCCGCGGTCTCCCAGCGACCAAGCTCGAGCCCAGACGGCGTTGAGCCAGCCGCTTGGGCCAAGGCGCGAACCATAGGCTTGAGTCAGGGGGCTACG